GTCTGATTTTTCATCATCTGCTTTGATACCCTGTGAAGACGAGAAAGAGAGAAATGGGTGATGAAGGTGAACTGAACTTAGCAGTACAGAGAGGAAGCCTTAGAGTTTAGGGGGCTGGAAAGGTGAGACAAGGCTTACCTCAGAAGAATAACAATTATTAAGCTTCTGTATAGACAGTGTGGAAAATGTGAGGGAGGAAAAAGAAAGAAAATCAATCATAATTCTGCTTCCCCCATGACCTCTGGTAACATTTTGGTACTTTCTTGCACTTCTCTTGCAATGGAGCTTCTTAAACTACAGCTTTGGATTTACATGGTTTTATATCGTATTTTATGTGTCTCTGCATGAATATTTGCAACTGACATCACAACAGGACTGCTGTAGAATATTATTTTAAGGAGGCAAAGATGTATTTCCATTTGTTGAAGCTGTAGAATGTTACTTTTACCTGTGTAAAAGTCTGTTAGCTGTGTTGATGCTGCATTTGCGTAATGATGCCAGGATGTGTGTTTAATTACTTAAAGATGTGCTGCATCTGTTTGGGTCTGCCGGCCTAAGCACCTAATGGGTGAGGAGCTGAAAGGCCAATAGCTAGGCATAGAAAGGATGGGTGTGTCTGTCAGGCAGAGAGAATCGATAGGAGACATCTGGGCTCAAGACAGAACAGCAAAAAGACTGAGGAGAAGAGCAGGAGGAGAAATAGCTCAGGGGTTAAGAGCAGTGAGTGCAATTGTGGAGGTCCTAGGTTCGGTTCACTATGGAGGAGGTAGGGGTAGGGGTAGGGGTAGGGGCCACTGGATCAGCCCAGTGGATAAATGGAACTTACCACTAGGCCTGATGGCCAGAATTCCAGCACTGGAACCACGTGGTGAAAGCGACTCCCGCAGTTGACCTCTGTTCTTGGTGGAGGCAGAGAAAGAGAAAAAGAGGAAGAGAGGACAGTAGCTTTAAAACTTCGCAGGGCTGAAACTGCTGCCCTATATACAGCAGTCCCCTTTCCTCACTCACTTATCCACCAAACGGATATAAGCCCCGGCCTTTGCTAAGAACTGAAGACAACAAAGTGAGAATCAACTCCAGAACACCACACAGAGTCCCAAAGTCCCCTGTCATGAGAGGCGGAATCTTCTCTCTGGGGCCATCTATCAGCAGCCACCTGGTGGCGCCTTCAGACATCTTTGCAACCCCAGAGTTTGGCAGCCCCGGAGGAGTGTACGGGAAGACGACGTCATTTAAGATTTCGTTTGTTTACAGGAGATGGCCAGTTCAGGCATCCTCTCCACTATCGCCAGGAATCTTAGCTGGGGTCATCCTTGTGGATTCCTAGGAGTTTCCCTGGCATCAGGTTTCTCCCTAACCCAGAAATCACCCTCCCTACCCCCTCCCATCAAGACGTCTCTTTCATTACTCTCCCCCTCCATCAGGCCCCCAAGATACTTCCCCCATGCTGAGCTCACCCAACTCCCTACCCTCCACCTCACCCCCTCCACCCCCAGTTTACCCAGGAGATCTCTTTTATTTCCCCCTTCCCAGGGAAATCCATGCATCCCTCTTGGGCCTTCTTTGTTAGCTAGCCTCTCTAGGGCTATGGATTGTAGGTTGGTTATCCTGTACATTACTCCTAATATCCACTTAAGAGAGAACATATACCATGTTTGTCTTTCTGGGTCTGGGTTACCTCATTCAGAATGATTTTTTTTCTAGTTCCATCTATTTGCCTGAAAATTTCTTGAGGTCTTTTTTTTTTAATTTTAATTTTTTTTTTTTTTACAGCTGAGTGATACTCCATTGTGTAAATGTACTACATTTTCCTTATCCATACTTCAGTTGAGGGGCATCTAGGTTGTTTCCAGGTTCTGGCTATTATGAATAATGCTGCTATGAACATAGTTGAGCAATGTCCTTGTGGTATGACTGAGCATCCTTTTGGTATATGCCCAAGATTGTTATACTGGGTCTTGATTCCTATTTTTCTGGGAAACTGCTATAATAATTTCCAAAGTGGCTGTACAAGTTTGCACTCCCATCAGCAGTGGAGGAGTGTTCTCCTTGTTCCATATTCTCTCCAGCATAAGCTGTCTGCAGTGTTTTTGATCCTAGCCATTCTGACAGGTGTAAGATGGTATCTCAGAGTTGTTTTGATTTGCATTTCTCTGATGATGAAGGATGTTGAACAATTCTTAAAATATATTTCAGCCATTTGAGATTATTCTGTTGAGAATTCTCTGTTTAGATCTGTACCCCATTTTTTAATTGGATTATGTGGTATTTTGATGTCTAGTTTCTTGAGTTCTGTATATATTTTGGAGATCAGTGTTAGTTATTTAGCGATGCTCTTACCCTGCGAGGAAATGTCACGAAACATGACAGAATCCACTAACAAGAGTTTTATTAAGACAGGAAAGAGAGACAGATGTGACAGGCCTGTGAAAACACACATGAATAAAGAGATGGAGTCGGGAATATGGCGCCAGCTTATAAAGGCTGGGCTGCGCCTGCGCACACAGGGCCATGTGCCTATTCCACATGGTTGTGCTGTGAGCTTTAGGCAACCACGCAAAGCCATGGGGTTATAGTCATGCTGAAAGACCCCCAGGGGAGATCTTCCTCAGGGAGAGACCCCAGACCCGGGAAACACACCGAAACCACAGATCAGATGCAAACAGCAAGAGGCTTTATTAGATGCACAGGTACCTGGGGCCAAGTCTCTCGGAGGACTTGCGCGCCTACCGAGGGCAAAGGGGACTTTTTATGGGATTTCA